CTAGAACAAGATAAAAACAGGGCAAGTTTTGCACTTGAAATTCGAAAAAGGTATATAATTACATTTAAGGCCCATTCATATTATGGGTTGCGCTAACATGCGCGTTTTCGTACAAAGACGCCCACTCTGGTAAGGCTGTGCATTCATTTTAAATGGGCTGCCAGCATAGCTCAAAGCATTAAAAGAAAAAAAACATACCTGTACCATTTTTTTTTTCAATGCTGTGCACCACAATGCACAGATGTTTTGTATCTATACAATGCGGTAAGCTATAGCTTATGTATGTTATTCTGTATTATATATGTGCATTGGGGTGCCATTCATTCTGATCTACAGGTTCATTAATGTTAGTTGTGATTACACTAGCTGTACCGCAATGCATATGTGTTAAAGGGCCCTAAGGTAAGGGGGGGAAGATGAAGCAAGCTGATCCAAACACGGCTAATTAATTATGTATGCATGCACAAATAAGCAAAAGATACCACCTACAGGGTTCTTTAAAGCAGATCTCTGGGTAAAAATTGCATTAACCCTTGCAGCAGGGCTACCCCCACACAGCAAGAGTTAAGTGCTCGTTTTTGCCTAGGGTAAAAAATAAAAGTTCTACTCGCCCAATCCTCAAAGCCAGCTAGTCCGGTCCCTGGAGCAACTCTCCCCCTCCGCTGCAGCAGTCTAAGGTCCCCGAGTCATACGTTCTATACACTGTGTATAGGACATGAGGACACCAAGGGACATACCACTGCTACAGCAAAAAAGAAGACAGGAGGGAGCGCTGTCACAAAGGATTGGGTAAGTATAACTTTGTTATTTTGACCCTAAGAAAAAACAAGCACTTAAACCTTGCAGTGGGGCATTTCATATTTTTTTTTTTACCCAGAGTTATTCTTTAACAGTAACGAATAGGGTCAGTCCATCCATTTAACTCCTGTTGAACTGTTAATGACCAGCTGGGTGTAATGTGCAGAGGGCAGCTGGAAAGTAGAAACATTTTACCTTGCAGCATGCCGCCTCCCCGCACAGAATGCTAAGCTTCCGGGCGCACCGGTCACTTCTTCAATATCCCCATTCACAAAATGTCTTTTTTTTTAAAGAATACAAGACATCCTGTGATTGGAGAAGAGATGATGTCACATCCCCACCCCAACTTTCAATCACAGAATACAGCTAACCTAGACCCAACAAAGATGACCTTCCCCACTTCAGTTTCCCTCCACTGAATATAATAATTCACGCATCACAAGGGCAACTTAAATAAAATTAAAAGCGTGCAATTTCCAAGATGGAAATAGTTTAAATTGTTCACCTGCTCATACCTTGGGAAACTTCCATTGAGAAAATGAATTTGACAGGGAATACAGTGATGCCTCTTAAGTTGGCCATACCCCAGTTAGATTTTCCTTTGAGCAGTGACGTCACAAGGGGGGTGCGGCCCGCACCCGGGTGATACCATTAGAGGGGTGACACCAAAATGACTGACAGTCATTTTGGCGTCACCCCCTCTAAAAAGTTGGGCACTCGGCCTTGGACCGAGAGCCCAACAGTGTCAGGAGAGAGGGGACTCGGTGGCATACCTCATCCCGCCAGGTGAACGTCCCCTCCTCTCTCTGCCAGCATCCATTAAATGAACCGCGCACGCGCATGGTGAGGTCACGCGCGATGACATTGCGGCGGGGTGTCACTCTGTCTCCGCTCCAGGTGAGACCTGGCCTCGGAATGCCCCTGCCTTGGAGGTAATTAGATTAGCACAGACTACCAATAGCTAGTAGGTACAAAGGCATTCCATACAGGATACAAATCACTGCTGAAATTTGACCACTGTGTTACAATGAACCTCAAACATTCTCTACTTGAAGACATCACAGTATGGAAGAATTCAAAAACAGCTCCTAAATTCATTTACAAGTGAAGTAATGGTTTACATAGGTACAAATAGAAACTCAAAGCATATCCGAACCCAAAAACCAAAACAAAATAATATAGCTGTTGATCCTGGTAATCTTGTGAGCTGATAACCTTCAACACCTACAGAGCAGACAAGAAGTTATTAGCATAGTTCACAGTTTTCTCTGGGGCCTACAGGACACTTCCCCCTATGTTATAGAAAAGAGAAGAGGGGCAGATGCTCTACTGTCCTTCCCTAGAGTGACGATACTGCTGTGTTCATAGATGCCGTAAAGTGAATGAGCGTTGTCACCCAGGGACAGGCAGGAAATAAGCTAGAAAAAAAACAAATCCATGCAACAAATCTAAAGACTGGTAATCTCTTATTTAGCATTTATCGAATAGACATCATAAAACACTTTTAATGGTGTGTTTAACAAACCAAAAGAGACTAAATAAGAGAAGTTTATTCTTAAGGCAGGGGTGGGAAACTCCAGCCCTCCAGCTGTTGTGGAACCTTGAGGCATTGCAAGTCTGACAGTTACAGGCCCAACTCCCAAAGGCAGAAGCATGATGGAATTTGTAGTTAAGCTGGAGGGCCGGAGTTGCCTACCCCGTGTTAGGGTTTACATACTGTACATTTTAAATTCCTGTTCTGATATATATTATTTTAGGCTTACAGTGAGGCTGAAGCCCAGAATTTTTTCTGGATGGAGTGGAGAAGGATTAAAACACCTGTCAGGTTTTTATTGATGTATGTGCCCATCAGGGAGGTTTACCCCCCTCATTTGTCCTGGTGACCGTTATCACTGAAATTTAAAAAAAATCCTAAATTGCGGGTTATCATCGGAAAAGGAATTGGTTGAAAATCTGCCAATAAAGACACTAGTTCTGGTGATCCTGCTGACCAGCTGAGGTTTCCCTTACTTTGGAGGAATATCCTCTCACCTCCTGTTGTGACTATCAGTCTGGAAGTAAAGGGAAATCTCCCCAAATGGACACAGATGGCAAAAAAAAAAAAGCGGACAGGGGTTACAATCGTCCCTTCTATCCAGAACTAAAAAAAGAACGTTTTAGCTTCAGTTTTACTTTAAGAGCCCTCGCCACAACAGCAAAACACTTTCATCATTTCAGATACAAAATTGAAAGAAAAAACCCCCCAAAGAAACGGTACTTGCATGTGCACCAAAGATTGTGCTTCATGGCACAATCACCAACGAAACAAGCACAACAAATAATGAATTCATACAAATGCCCAAAAGCATAACTATACATTTTCCCTAATAAATCAATATGGCTTCCAATCTAATCACTATAAGCATACATAATGTAGACCATAATATAGCCAATTGCCTGCCCTCTCCTGTACCAGGTTTCAGAATGTTATACCCTGTGAGGTCACTGTAGCCTGTTAAGTATATTCTACTTTGATTGTTTAAATTTAGCATCATTGATGTCACTAATATTTATCCATCAAGAGTGACTTGGAATACTTGCCTTCATATCATAGTACATGCCCATAAGCTCCTGAAGAAGCGGTGGTGACCGCAAAACGCATAGAATGAGAGATATGCACCTCCCCATGGAAATCTGTATAATTATCATTGATATATACTAATATTATCTGCATCAGATTGATATATTAATAATCAGGTGTAACTATCATATATCATATTGAGGAGGTGCAGTTTCATGTGAAGCATATAGCTCATAGCTTTATGAGCGAGACTATATATGTTGATCATTTTATCAACAAATGTATACAATAAAATATCTTTTTTAAATACAATGTTAAGTGGTCATGGTGGTGCCTAAAAAGTCAGTTGTTTGCTGCTTTCCTTTATCTACATATATTAGAATGTGGCACCGTCTGAACCCCTGTACATCCCTTTACTCTTGGCATATATAATAGTAGAGCCTAGTAAAAAAAAAAAAAAAAAAAAAATGGAAAAACCCAAACTTAGGGGTTTTATTATAACAGGG